AAGAATATTGTCAAGATCCTTAAGAGACTAAGAAAATAGTTAAAACTAATTATCTTCAATCAGAAATGATTCAAAAATAGTAAAGGTGTAATAAGTGCAGTAGGGGCCAAAGATATAATAACAGATTTGTAATACAAGACTATTCTAGAATAGATAATATTTTAAAAGTAAATGCTAGTAAAAATCAAACAAGAAGTAGTGAAAATCTTGGACAAAAATCAAATATAACAATATATGTTTTTTCAATATAAATAAATATAATAAAAATGCATAATTAAAAATGACATATAATTTTACTGGTTTTCTGAAAATTATATAAATTTAATTAATTAAAGAAAATATAAAATAAAATAAAATTAAAATTAAAGCAATAAATAAAATATATATAAAACTTGTTTTGGAACTTATATTAATTAAATAAGATAAATATTATAAATTCTATTGATATTTTATCATATATCAATAATCTTGAATTATTTAACTTGAGTCTTAATCATTATAGAATATAATATCTTTTCAAATATCTTATAGAAATATAATTTCTTTAATATTTTAAGTCCCAAATATTTTAGAGAAAAATAAAGAAAAACATAATATTCCAATTGTTTTGCTTCTTTTATTAGCCTGTTTGTATTACTTATTTTGCTATAAATATTATTACAATATTATAACAATTAATACAAATATAAAAAAAGAATTTAAATATATCTATCAATTTTATTAATGGATATTATTATATTATTTAATAAGTTTTCAAATTTATTATAATTAAAGATAATTTTAAAAAACTTATTCATTGTTTATTAAATATAAACTAATAATTAAAAAATAAAATTAGTTAAAAATTTCATATAGCTATTTTTATTTTAATTTAAATAAAATAATTGAACTTAAAAAAATTATTAAAAAAATATATAAAATTAGAAAATCAATTATTTATAAGAATTCTAATAATTCAATTTGATTCAATTCTTAATTTTCAGGTTTATATTAAATTTAATATGTGAATTATAACTACTATTATTTTTAATAATGTTTTGAATCTCATATAAGTCTATACAAGACCATTCAATTCCAATTTTAAAATTATACTATAGAATTTGTTATATTAATTGAAATTATTTATTTTTATAGGAATTAAATTAAAAACATTATTTTGTACAATTTTTTCTATTTTGATCTGTTTTCAACTTGTAATTGTCAAAAAACTAGAGATTATATTTTTTTACAACCTAGCTTTATTTTATTAGGATTTAGATATTTTAATATTTTATATATAAAAAACTAATAATCTATATATAGATAAAATTTATGTGTCTTATCTTTTATGATTTTGAATTAGAAACATGCATTTAAAGATCTAAAAATATTATTTACTGTAATATTAACTTATAGATCTTGAAAATTATTTATTTATTTTAATTAGTATCAGTTTTAATTATAAAAAAATTTTTTTATTTCAAAATAATAAAATTTTTTTTATATTGTTAAAGATATTAAATATTATATTTTAAAAATAAAGTTTATATTTTATTTTATTAATTAACTTTTCTTTTTTAAAAATTAAAAATGGTATTATTTGAAATAAAATAAAACATTAACAAAATTATTTGACAAATTATAGTACACAAGAGATTTTTTATAAAGAATAAAGACAATTATTTAAAATAATAATTGATTAAACAATTATTTAGTAATATTATCACACGTAACATGATTTTTAGAGAATAATCAAAATTCAATCATATTGTACATAATGTATAATATAGATATTATATTATATGAAAATTTGTATAATTGATAAATTTATAATATGTAATACTTTTTATTTAAGTAGATTAATATACTGTATATTAAATTTTAAATTTGTACTGTGTACATGATATTAAAATTATATAAAGTAAAATATTTTCTTATTACAATGCTTTTTCTTGTGATTAATATCTGGATAAATAAAATCTAATGATTTGTTATATGGTGCTGAGATGCTTTAATAATAATATGCTGGATAATACTGCTTTTTATTATAATAATTTAAAAGAATTCTAATTTATAAGAATAACAAAATTATATTTGTGGCAAAATAATATATCGATCCATAATTATTGTAATTATACAGTATTTTATATTTGAACTACATTACATATTTATATTGCGTATAATATAAAAATGTATGAATAAAATGAACATTGATTTTTTTCTTAAATATAATTAATGACTTATATTATACATGTAATTTGACTAGAAAAAAAACTTGCATGTTTAGAAAATTTACTGTATGTGTGATAATAAAATACATTACATGTGAAATACACTAATATTGATTTGTCACTTGGACCTTTGAATTATGATTTATATAAACCTAGTAAAATCTCATCTTTTGATTATCAAACGACGTACTGTATTTTTTTTTCCTGATAAACGACAGACTCGCCATTCATAATTTCATCCGAATTTGTATCACAAACTTTAATATGGATATTTATATATAGTAACGATATACATACTATACTTGTCGGGAATTTCTCTCTGATCTCCTGCATTTAGAACATGACAAGTACATTTTATGAAAGATTATCCGGCGATTTCGAAAAAATTTTTAAAGATAGTGAAAAATATGATGCCGTTATTGAAGTTGGTGAATTTCCCATGAACCAATCCTATGCGGCTCATTCAATAATTCTGCGTCATCGTTGCCCCTCTCTTTATAAAGA